GTTATACCCTTTGTATCTAAGTTTGTATCTTCAAGGCTTTTACATTTCAAGCTTTTGTATCTTGTAGAGAGAGAGACATGTGAATTCCTTTGTAACCGAAGCAATTTCTTACGGATTGCTTCAAGAATGCAACTTTTTGCTGCAATGAGCAACAAAGCTTGACATAAGCTTGCAGCATTTCTCTACCTTGGCATTTTTATACTTTGCCACACCTGTAAATTTCTCACTTTAATATATAACCAAGACAAATACCTGTTAGACTTAGATGTTTGTTTCTCATAATAAAATAATGAATATTCTGGCTCATAATCTAATAATCAAAAATTGCTGTAATCATTCAATGTTCTGATGGCTGTTGCCTGAGAATTGAACTCTTCAGCCATTCATAGTATTGCATCTTACAATGTACCTAAAACCCTCTGCTTACATGAATGCCTTGTGAGATCAATAGCTGCCACATTGCAATCTGGATATTGGTTCAAAATAAAAGCAAATAGCTGAGAAATCTGACTGTAGAAGTAAAAGTGTTTGTAAATTTGATTACTGAGAGCTATTTTGGAAGAACTATGCCACTTCTGAAAGTACACAAGTCTGTGATTCACATAATTCAAGTTTGCAATCATTCCAACCTATGTAACCACACATAGTGCTGCCATCCTGTGGTCAAGTTCACAATTTTCATGAATTTTACATTGTGAAGGACAATCATCTGACTTCTTAATTTCTTCCTTTGTGTATGTTTTGTACAGAAGTCATTGTTGCTATTGAAATAGACCATTAGAACATCAGATGTAGGCTGTGCAGCTAATTTTGCTGTCATTGGTCATGCTATCAATGTGCACAGAAATCTTTTTTTCTACCCCTCTTTGAAAGAATTGTTACTGAGGGAATTGGATTACGGATAGCATGATGTATGAGGCAAAACAAAGTCACAAGACTTCGCTTGACCAAACTAAATATTTAGTGCAGATGGAAACTAATACATAAAGTTAGAATTTGTCAAAAAATAGATCTCATTCCAAGGATTAGAGCATTATATGTTTGAACTGACTATTTTTCAATAGGGGCTCAACTTTTTGTGAAGGTGAAATATGACTGCATTTATACAGGACTTTATCATATCTTTTGGGTATCCCAAGTGCCTTATTACAAATGGATTACCATGTTGAGTGTAGTCACTTTTGATGCACAGCAAGCAACCGCATAGAGTAAGTAAATAAGGGTCAGAATGAGACAAAGAACCACCAGGAATAAGTGTCCAATTGTATGGAAGTGTCATTTCCATTTTTCCACGGTTTCTTTCACAAAAATCTTGGGAAGACGTTTAAGTGTGTTGATCATGGTCAGATTTTATGGAGGCAAGACAGTGGTGAGGATGAGGTGTTTATCCATCAAAAAAAAACCCATGCCAGGATGCTGATTGTCCATTTACATTTATAACTGTGCCTCAAAGAACCACATTTTAAATTTAGCCCTTGGTCAGGTTGCATTGACTTCTGGAGTCATTGAGTCATACAGCATGGAAACAGACCCTTCAGTCAAACTTATTCATGCTGACCAGATTTCTCCAACTTAACTAATCCCATTTGCCAGCGCCTGGTCAATATCCCTCTAAACCTTTCCTGTTCATCTCCCTGTCCAAACGTCTTTCCAATGTTGTAACTGTATCTGCATCTAACACTTCCTCTGGTAGTTCATTCCACATACAAACCACCCTTTGAAACCTGGCAACTGAAAAGAAGTGACAATCGTATGATCTAGAAAGTAAAACTGCTGACCTGCTGGATTTAAGTTCTTCATCCTCACTTAGTCAGGAACCTCTTAAACTTTCCATTTTTCTCTCTGATCACATATCCTCACAATAAACCAGTCTCTAATCTCATCTCTGGCCTGCAATCTGCCCCGACTTTTCCTGAACACTGGTCTCTGATTTTACCTACCACTGGTCTGTAATGTTATCCATCCTGTCCTCTGAGCCTCCCCATGGTCTCTGATCTGTTTTTGTGTTGCCAATCCTTTTTCAAATTGCATCTTTCTGATAACTCTCTCCCTCCTCTGCACTCCCCAACTGCGGAAATGGACAAAAATAAACTGTAATCAGGTCCTGCTGTGAGACCGGAAGTAATCTGAGTCAACGGAGTGGCTAGTTCTTTGGATGACTGCTGCTTAATTTTGAAAACATTTACTGTCGCCCCGAATTTCCATTAAGTTTGAAAACATTTGCTGTGTTCAGGGGAACACTGGACAAGGAGTAGGCCATTTAGCCCTGATAGCCTTATCTACCATAAATGAAAATTTGGCTGATCCGTGACCAAATTCCACATAACGTTTAACAGAAACTGATCAGCACAAATTTTTAAATTAACAATTGACTCAGTGTCAATTATCATGTGTGGATGTGAATTCCAAACTTCTGTCAATTTCTGGTATTTAATTACTTCCCTACTGTACTCCTGAAAGATATGCTTCCAATTTTTCGACAGAGCTCCTGTTATGAAGCAGAGGTCAAAACCTCTCTGATAATTAAAACCAAAAGTCCCAGAGAAGCCTGCCTCACTTTATAATCTGTTAAAGGAAATGTGAAAAGTGGGAAAACCTGCTTCTCATATCCCAATCTGTTGTAAAGAAGAGGTGAAATAAAATGAACTCTTCACAGTCACTCTACAATCAACAAATAGCAATTTATTTATCTAACTGTAACAGTTAACAAATTAGCTGAACATTTCCCCCTTAACTACTAACTATTCCTGAATAAAACAAAATTCAAATGGTATGCTGTTCCAATAGATATGAGTCCCACATATAGAATGTAATTCAATAAAAAAGTTAAAACTTAATCTCTCAAAATTACAGTCAGGAAATGTCTTCCAGAATGTTCTTTGCCTTCTCCTCTGTCCTCTAGTCAGGATCGCCTTGCTCTGTTGAATTTTTGTGTTAGGAATATTAGCTAAGCGTGCCGGAGTACATGTATTTCGATGGTGCTTACTCTGAGAGTTTGGAGATTTCTGTGAGAGCCAGTGTGTTTCTCTTCAGATAGCAGTTCGCTCTCACCCTGATTTTCTTAACCTCTTCTTTCGTACCCCCTTGACGGCCTATCAATTTCTTACAACAGGATTGATCCTAGGTTGTCAGAACTGTCAGATGTAAATTTAATTGGTTTTTAGTTTCTAAGTACATGGTTTAAATTAATTCTTTGATATTCAAACTCCTAGCCTTTTGATACAATGTTTCAATTTCAGGAGCTGTCTGTGCACCTGATCATTTTTAAAAAATGTCCTAGCCTTGACAAAAATACATCATCTTTTAAAGGGACCACACACTCTTCCCCCCCCCCACACTAATATTTTACAAACGTCAAATCCTAGTGTTCTGCCTTCCAATCCACAAGCACTGTACCAACTTTGCAACAACCACCCAGTGAAAGTATTTTCAGCCTGCTATGGAATGATGTAAGAACCAGAGGCTCTTATTGTTCATTGTAGCACAGATAAACAATAATAAGAAGAAAAGCTTATGATAAATAAGTTTACTTTCAACACAGGTACTTCAGTGATTGGCTGAATTACAGCCTCTTCACATCGTGCCTTGTATGTTTGTGTGTTTCACATTTACAACCCTGATCTAATGTTCAGTTGCAAGAAAATGTTGAGTTCTACAGTAATGAAAACATTTTTAAAAATCATGTTTTAAACAACGATCTGTGTGTGCTGGAAATCTGAAACAGAAGGAAATTGCTGAAGAAACTGAACAGGACTGGCAGGATCTGTGGGGAGAAACAGAAAACCACGGTTTAACTGTTTCGAGTCCAGTGACCTTTCCTCAGAAGTTATGAAGTTATTTTTTGGGGGTGCTTACAAATTTGCCCCATTTCCTTTTAAGTCTTTGCCCTGCCCATATAGCTGTTTAGGATGAGGGGCAGGCCCTCAGGTCCAAATCAAAACTGAGGGATCAGCTGGGGCGGCATGATGGCATAGTGGTCAGCACTGCTACCTCACAGTGCCAAGGACCTGAGTTCGATCTGCGCTCAGGTAATTTTCTGTGTGGAGTTTGCACATTCTCTCCATGTCTGCGTGGGTTTTCTCCCACAGTCCAAAGATGTGCAGACTAGGTGGATTGGCTGTGCTAAATTGCCTATAGTGTTCAGGGATGTGGGTTATAGGGGGATGGGTCTGGGTGGGATGCTCTGAGAGTCGGTGTGGACTTGTTGGACTGAAGGGCCTGTTTCCACACTGTCGGGATTCTATGATGAAGCTCCAGCACCAAGGACAGCGACACGCACATGCGTACAGCGGCAGCACCAGGAGCCGCATTACGCGCCTGCGCAGTCGGCGTTTTGCCGGCCGTGGGCCGTCGGCCCGTGAGGGAGATTGCGCTGTAGCTTCCCCCTGCCGCCTGGGAGCGAGAGACAAGATGGCGACGAAGGGAATCGGGAGAATGGTGAATGGAGCCATGGGCGATATTACAGGCTCGGCGAGCCGACAACACGCCCAGGCGGTCAGCAGGGACTACATGTCGCAGCCGCGGCTCAGTGAGTGTTTCACGGTGTGAGAATGGGTGACGGGAAGTGGAGGTGAGATGAGATGAGATGAGATGATGGGGGATCGTGCGGCCCTGTTTGGGGGAAGGTTAGGAACAACAAACCATCAGAAGCAGCCGGCCCGAAAGGCCGGGAGATATAACCCTCTCCAGGCAGTTAGACAACACTGCTCGGCAAGGAAAGGCGACTCGACCCGAAACAAGACACTGAGCGAGCTGGTTGCCAGCACTGAGGAATTTTAGCTGCGATGACATACAGGTTTTTGTTTGAACAGAGTGGTGTGAGACACTCATTCTCAAACGGATACAGGAACGAACATGACACCAAAACAAAAATACAATAAATGAACAGCAATAACATTCAGTCGATAATCATTAAAGACAAAGCAGCATTATACATACGTTGTAAATAGGAACATTTGTAATTTTGAAATATTTCAGAAAAATGTTGTCGTTCTATCTCGTCACAAGACCAGATCATTTAGTTTCTCCTGCTTAGAGCCTTTTGTTGGGAAGCTGTTGATATGTGCATGCTTGCATTCAGCTTCACATCCAAAGATTTTAATGAGAGTTAAACACATATTTAAATTGTTCCGAAGCATTTCAGTCCCTGTGGCTGTTTCTTGCCCCTCCTGTCCCCTTCCAAACCTCGGCTACCTCCCCTACTGCACCACTCCCTCCCCCAGGTGCACTGTTCTGTGTAGAACTGAGATGGATTGGATATGAACGATCTGTTTCCACTAGCCGAGAGGCCAAAAATCAGAGATGCACAATTGAATAATTTTGTTGCAGGATTACAGGACAGTTGAGAATATTGAAAGGTTCAAGTTGAGATAAGGACGCTCAGTGTCTTGAAAATAATGGTTGGCTAGACAGTTAGGTTTTCAGGTTCAAGAACAAAAAGCGGGTTCGAACTGGATGGTTAATACTTGGCCAGTGATGGCATGATGGGCCCAATAGTTCCTTCTGCACATAGAAGAGCAGGCAATTCCTTTGTACTAGTGGAGAGAGGAGGACGATTCTGACGTGAAGTCTTAGATTTTCTCTCCCGGAAGTTCCTGTCTGATATGAATATTTCCAACATTTCTGTGGCCAACAAACTGTGTGGGAGTGAGGGTGTGGAATGCAATTATTTGCATACTGTGCTGAGGTGAAGTTCAGAGAGTGAACAAGACAAATTTGCACACAAGTGGAGTGGGGAAAATAATGCTCCCACACAAAATTGGAGGTTGGGGGTCTGAATTTGCAGACTGTCAGGAAAGTGCATTTTTCACTGCTTGGTGCTAGAACAAAGGCTCAAGCATGCATCTTTGTGACACACTGGAGATCTGATTACATGACATTTGATTTGAAAGTTCCAAAAACAAATGACTCTTCAGTCCTGAACTCAGTTATTTGCCAGTCTGCAACTTCTTTCAGATCTGTACAATGGCGGCAGGCTTGTGTAGTATCTGTCTGCATGCGTATCTGAAGTTCCACTTCAATTATTCAGTATGTCGCTGTAGGTAAATTATAGCCAAAACTTATACCTGACCTTTGAATAGCACAGTGAAGACTTCAGCATCTATTATAGTGGATTGTCCATAAACCCTGCCAACAGGACAAACCCAGCCTCACTCATCATTTCTGACGCACCACTAAAAATAAAAAGGCTTTGACTTGTTCCTTTACACTGAGGCAGCACGCAATTGAAATGCAATTTGCATGGCAAAATGCATGTTGTCACCTCAGTCAAAACCCAGCAACAAAAACAGCTGAAACCTCCTGTGTGGTTTCAGAATTTTCAACGACAGGGAGTCGTTTTTATAGAAATTCTCTGAGCTGCTGAGGATCTCCCCTACAACTGTTCGGTCTTTTTGTCCTGGGCAGAATCCTCCTCAGGAATTCACCTAATCACTGGCTTTGACTGGAGCCATGAATTTATGACATCATAGCCTTTTCTATGGATTCCAAAAAAATCATATTGATGAAGTCCAAAATCATTGTTCTCCTCAACCCAACATACGAAGAGAAGTGGACTGTTAATCTCATTCATTAACCTGTGCCTCAACAGCATTTACTCACCTTTGGTCTACATCCATTGCTGAATAAAAGGGTTGATTTCAGTCTTGAACATTTAATTTGGCCAAATTGAGTCCTTTGGTGAGTGAATTTGAGTGTATTCAATGATGCTTTGTTTGAAGATGCTTCCCAGTTTGCTCCTTAAGTGGCTTTGTGCAGGTT